AGGAACAAAAGCATGGTATAAATAATAATACAGACACCCGATTACTTAACATCGCTTATTTTGACATTCTAGAAGAAATAGTTGAATTTTTAGACTTATTAAAATGTTTATGTTTTGCGACTTGACACCTTTTATTCAACTAATAACTGACTTGACATCAGTCAAGTACTAAGTTTAACAACAATTAGAGGCATTGTCATCTAAATTTATTCGGAAACAATTGTAAGTAACAATTAACTAATTTTTAATTTTTATTTTTACATATAAGTGGATTTCTATTTTATAATATAAAATTTCTTTTTAAATTCAGTTTATATTAACAAATATTAATAACTTGGAGGAGATGGACACGATCATTGCCAAACTGATAGCCTTTCGCCGACCAACGATGAGTGATTGGTTTGGACGAATGTTTAAGTGCCACTCCGAGTTTTTAATAATTAAAAAATTTATTGATTAGCCGGATCAATTATTTTAATTCGATTTTTGCTTCTAATTGGGACTTTTCGTGTTGAACTATTTGTAATTATTTCAATTTATTGTTTACGTTATTCGCTTTTTAATTTTGACATAATTATCTAATTTATTTTGACTATTGTATTGCGACTTTTTATTATAATATTTTTATTATTTTTTATTGCGCACTGAGGAAGACTAAGTATAGTTCGAAACGTTTGTAATTAAGAATATTAAAGTTTGTATTGTAATTGGTTTTTTTAAATTAAATTTTTCTAAGTGTAAAATAATTTTTGATTGCTCGTTTCACTGGCCTCGTAATATTTAGTAAGTTATTATTATGTTTGTTTACATATGAGCTTGAACGTTGTTATAGATTAGGTGATTTTGTATTATTTTTTTATTGTATATATATTATATACATCTATATATATATATATATATATACACATATATATATATATATATATATATATATATATATATATATATATATACGTGAGCATTCTACGTGAAAATGGTCTACTTAAAAATAAACTGTTTGGAATTCTTAAAATAATCGTAAAAACCTGTTAGCGCATGATAGATATACATAAAAAGTATAAAAGATAAGAAAAGTAAAGCATAGAACGTATATATATATATATGTATATATATATATATATATATATATATATATAATATATATATATATATATATATAGTGTGTGCCATTAAATTTAAAAGAATGAAAAAATATAAGCTATTTTATTCTTCACCTGAATGTCACAGAAACGTTTTTTTTATTAGATTGTTATCGAATTCCACGAATGTCCGAATTGGATGTGCTGATTTGCTTAGATCGCTTTTTGTGCTATCTTCCTCACAGGAAAAACAGTATCCTTGAAAGAATGCAAATATGCCTTGATTCAAGTATATATTATCCTTATAATAGCGCCAAATATAAATAATTTTGGATAAAGGATAATTTATCCTTAAAACAAAGTGCAAAATATTTTGGTTGAAGCTGAAATTTACTTATAAATATTGCAAGGACAAGAGACAAGTGAGCATCGGATATAAGCGGTACTTTCAAGTATATATAATAATTTTTAGTTCAAATGTGACTAACAATAAGTTTTTTTACCATATGCGATTTTTAAAACAAGAATATATCTTAAGAATAAACTATACTTTACACAAATTTATTTATTATTAAGGCAAATGAAAATTTGTGATTACAAAGAGCATTCTATGCTTAAATCAATCAAATAGCGTTCAAGAATAAAAATATACTTGAATCAATGATTCCTTTTTTTCTGTGCTGGAGAACTTCAAAATCATAATTATATAAGGACATCGGACCGCGCTTTGCGCGGTTCTCATATAGCTTTTATAAAACTTGATTTAATATAAAAGATTAGTTCTTTTGTTTTAAATATTTTATTTCGCTCCGCGTTTTGCATAAACTTAAATATAGATACTCGAAATACCAATTTCGAGAAAATTGATAAATAAATGTGTAAATGCGTGGATAGGTGCGTGGGTGGGTATGTCAATAAAAAATCACCTAGTACGATGTTTTTAAACATTCTGAACCCATTAACATATAGAAATCTAAAAAATAAATTTTTGCGGTAATATAGCCTCCTCTATGAGAAAGAAAAAAATTTTTAAAAACCATATAGTACAAAGTTAGTACGATGTTTCTGAACATTCTAAACACATTGGCGTAGAAATTAAAAATGTTGATGCGTGGGTGATTGCGTGAGTGAGTGAATAGGGTGTTAAAATTTTTTTAAATGATATATTGACCATCCCCGACAAATTTACAAAATTTTAGTACAAATTTCGAAAAACTTTGTGAATAAATGTGTGAATGCGTGGGTAGATGCGTGATTGGGATAAAACTTAAAAAAACCACACAACAGCTTTCTATTAAAAATTTGCAACATTTTGTTACCAATTTCGTGAAAATCGGTCAATAAATGCGTATGCACATTGGTGCATGGATGCGTGGGTGGGTGCGTGGGCGGATGAATAGCGTGATAAAAATTTGTTAAAATCATATAGTAGCCATCCCCGACATAATTTGAGTACTTTCGAAAAAGTTTGTAAATAAATATGCGATTGCGTGGGTGGATGCGTAGGTGGGATAAAACTTAAAAAAATAAAACAACAGTTTTCTCAGAAAAATTTGCAACATTTTGGTACTAATTTCGTGAAAATTGGATTATAAATGCGCATACGTGTGGGTGAATGCGTGGGTGGGTGCGTAAGTGAAAGTGTAACACTTGAAAAAACCGCATCGTCGCTATCTCCAAAAAATTTGCAACATTTTGATACCATGTGTTCATAAATATTGCAAAAAAAGATTTTTTTTCGCAAAAACATACCCTCCTCTAAGGAAAAAATTAAAAAAAAACCCACAGCAGCCACCCCCGAAAAATTTGCAACATTTTGGTACCGGTTTCACGAAAATCTGTCCACAAATGCGGAAGTAGTTCGCGTACATACAGACAGACGGACGGTGCTTATATATAAAGATATTGTACATATAAGAATGGAGTATATAAAATAAATAAACCTTTTTAGAAATTTCAAAATAATATATACATATTGGTATACAGAATTATATATTAGACTTCCAATTTCGGTAATTGAGAAAAGATAAAATAAAACAATTTTTTTAATTCACAATCTCCACTTCATTCCTCTCGACCAATAGAGCCAAACGCAATGTTAATGCGACAATTAAGAAAGAAAGAAAATTTGGAAACTTAGGAATTTGAATCCTATGGTTGGGATCTCAGAAATTCCCCTTGTTCCTTCTCTTAAGAGGGTTGACCCGTTTGATGGGTTGAAAAAATCGGAAAATTTTTTTTTCATAAATCACTTCTATAACTTATGTAGAATATGTGATTAAAAAAATTTTTCGAAATTCGATGTCGTTAGAAAGTTATAGCCCTGAGAAGGAATGCGCAAGCAACTTTGGTTACTGTATTATAGAATTCGTTTCTGTTTTTTCTGCAAGTGTCATCTGCAAAGATTGCAAAAGTGAAGTTACTTTTTCTAAGTCAAGCTTACGTGGCTTGGGTTTCAATATTCTTCTCGAGTGCAAGTGTGATAAACAAACAAAAATGAAGAGCAGGAAGGCGTCCTGTATGGCTCAGGCATCGCAGATTAGTGGTAAGTCACGATTTCATTTTCTCGAAACCACTTTTTTTCAACTGGTCGCCATGATATCTCAAAAACGACTTGACCGACCGCCTTGAAATTTATAGGGTATGTTCAGCACATGTGGGGCAACAAGCTGAACTAGGATAATTAAAAAAGATCACGTCGTTTTTTTTTATACAACAAAACAGGCCCAAAAAAAGTGTTTTTTTAGATATAAAAATTCAAAGTCGCCTAAAATTTTTATCTTTCAATATTTTCAAATAATCCTAGTTTATCTCGTAGCTACAGTCACACATATTAAAATGCTTTTTTATTTTTTGATTTCAGATCACTCAGTCGGCCGGAATCGTGGCGACCAATGACGTTCCTTTTTTTATATGAATGACTTCCCCGTGCTGTATCACGGAAGTTTTTATTATTTTCACTTGAAAAAATTTCTACGTGTACTTTAATAATTAATAAATATATAGTAAAAAATTCAAAGTTGTAAGTTTTTATCGCTCTTCAAAAAAAATTCCCAAAAAACAGTTAAAAAAACGGCCGTCAAACGGGTCAACCTCCTTAACATCCCTGTAAAGAAATAGGCGAGAAAAATATTGGTCCGAAAGTCGGCTGAATCGGGAATTCCCGATTCAGCCGACTTTCGGACCAATATTTTTCTCGCCTATTTCTTTACAGGAGATGTTAAGAGAAGGAACAAGGGGAATTTCTGAGATCCCAACCATAGGATTCAAATTCCTAAATTTCCAAATTTTCTTTCTTTCTTAATTGTCGCATTAACATTGCGTTTGGCTCTATTGGTCGAGAGGAATGAAGTGGAGATTGTGGTTTAAAAAATTATGAGCTGACTTAAAAATATTCGTATTATTAATTTTTTTAATTGTTGACACAAAAAATAGTAGGATGAATATGCCAATTACTGTGTCCTTTTAGCTCCATGTTTTTAAATTTAAAAAGGATTCCTACTTTTTTTCTACGTACGTCTTAAAGAGTTAAAATTATAATTCAATGTTTTTTGTAATACAAGGAATCTTTTTATAAATAAAATATTTTAAAAACTTTAAAAATAATTAAAAAAAAATAATTAAAAAAAAAGATTCAAGCCAAGTTACTGGATAAAAATCACAAAAATGGATTTCATTTACTCTACTCATGTACTATGTCTTATTTACTGTATTTTTTCAATTACTATTCCAAGTGCCGTGTGGAAGTTCAGAATATACTGTGCCCTAAATATGTCGATTATACCATATACCGTGTAGCATAAGGAGGCATAGTAATTGTTACATCGACAAAAAATGACTAAAATTTGTGCAGTTATTGAATACGGTGATACAAATAAACACAAAATTTTTACCGGTTTTGGATTCATTAAATTAAAAAGAATATTTTTAAAATTGCTTAAAATATTGTTTCTTCATAGTTTATACGGGTTTCAATAATATAGAATACATTTTTATAGGTGGTGTATATTAATCTATTTATCTTGATATATGTAAATAATATTCGTTGTTTTTTTAAGCTTTTTAACAACTTAATATGAAAAACAAGCTATATCAGGTATCAAAAATCTTAAATATTATTTTCAATATTTAAAAAATATGTTATATATTTAATTTTTTTATATGTATATCAAAAACTCAATTTTATAAAAAAAAATGTTAATTTCATTATGCTTTATTTTACTATGTGAGAAAAACTAAGAGTACAATAATTGGCACATTTATCCTATATGATATTGTACATAAAGTACGATGACAGATACTTCTAAGTAAAAAAAAATATATATATATAAATTACAAACTGCAAATTAATGTAGCAAATTGACTTTTAAAATAACCAAATAATAATAATAACATCATAATCTATGTACGTTTTTGAAACTTAAAAGCAATAACATAATTATAGTAGTCCTGACAAAAATGAATATTTTATAATAGAAGAGACAGTAATTGTCAATGATCATTCAATGATTTTTAACGAAAACAAATATTTCAAAGACTTTAGTAAGGCTTTCAAAAAAGCAAATTAGAATTTTAACGGACTAGTAAGACCCAGGTCGTAAATGTTAGAGTGTCTAATTGACAAGAAAGAATTGAGATTTATTTCATTTCTTGACATATTGTACGAAGAAAAATTTGTGTTTTGTGCACAACTAACCAATTTCAACGAAAATTATTTCTCCCTTGAAACTGACGTACCATGCGTCTCTTGATCTTACTGGTTGCTAGCAGGTTGAAATTCAAATAATACACAATATATTATATCAAATGTCTCACATTGAAGAGAAATCGTTTAATGATTACTAAGCGTTTAGTATTTCCCGAACTTTTCTATTGATTAAAAAAATAAAAATATGAGATTTCCAACTAGTTAGAAACAACATAGCTAGCAAAAGAATGAGATTTATTTTATTTTAAAATATTTCGTGAACAGAGTGTTTGCATCTATTCCTCTTTTTGTTTATTTTTTCGAATAGAATATATATTTATTTATATATTTTCTTGTTGAGAGATAATTCTTCAAATTTAATTTTTTAATTTTGATTTGGCAAATACAATTTTTTGCAACTAATTAAGAAATTTTGAGAATATAAATATGTCTACAAATGAATTATTCTTACCAACTACATTTTTTTCAGTTATGTTGTTAAAATATTCCTGCATATATAACTTCTGGACTCGTAACAGGTAATTATTAATTGTGTAGAACTCGAAAGATGGTGTATTCTGTTGAATGAACAAGAAAAACCAATAAGAAATTATATAACTGTCTCTTATAGTAATTAAATCTTATAGTAATAGAAAGTCTAATTCTCTTCGATTGTTAAAACAGCTTTGTCTAATAATTCAGTTTTTGCGTTATTTTTAGTTTATTTAATAACAATAATTTCTTTAAGTAAAACATTACTTTAATTCGCTTTCTATTTTCACGAAAGCGATTTTTATCTCATTGATAGTGTCAAAGTTTATATTTCAACACTAAAGTTAATTTCATTGTAATTGTTTTGTGATCATAGAAATGTTTGACATTCCTGTATTTAAAATCTTATTAAATTTCTTTTATATTTATTGTCTAATAAATTATCTTTTATTTTTCTATAAATTTAATTTTTATTATTATATTCCAGGGCAAGTGACATTTGAAGAGCACAATATATTAATGCCATAAACGTTTACGACTTGTATTTCGCTTAAATATGTACGTACGTATATGTTAATATATGTATGTACACGTTTGTTATATACATTATTATACATATACATTGATACAATGAATAATATTAATGTACGTAGTGATAGCTGTTTAGCTGTAGATATAACTATAGCTATATAATATTGACTTTAAAATATTTGATCGAGAGAAATTAATATAATACTGAAATGCATTAAACAGATCTTCTACACGAGATTTAATGATTTTTATTACTCATGCAACTTATTTAAACTCAGTTTTTTTTATTAGTTTTATTAAATAAAAAATAATTTATTGTAAGTTTTATACAATAATAAAAAAATATTAATAATGTAGAGAACAAACGGAATCATTTATCTTAAAAATTTTATTCTTAAATAGAACAATTATATCAACACATGTTACGTTTGAGATTTAATATACATATATCGTTTTAATTATGTAAGCATAATTTGTGCTATATAATATTATATTTTTAATGTGTTTGTTTTTAACGCAAAATTAAACAAATTTTTATATTTTTTGTAATATCAAAATTCTTGTGTTACGTTTATTGAACAGTTTAAATTACACAAATAATTTCTCATTAGTTACAGTAACATAAAATATATTTTTTTTTATCTCTTATCTACGAAAAAAATTTCATATTTACACCAAGTTTAAATCAAGGCACATGAAAATATCCTTTTTTGAAGACTGACCTGTACTATATGAATATCTTCAGTCTCTAAAGATACCGCGAAGGCCGTTCTCGTTAGCATTAACACTTTTAATAAAATACATAATATTTTTAACGTTCCGAACATGATAACTTTTTTCTCTTGCAGATATTTTTACTGGATTCTCCTTCACGAGAATCTTAACTGAACAACAATTACTGACTAATGCACACTCAATCATTTCAATTGGCATTTGAATATATAGACAACACAATAGCTAACAATTGTGTCAAAGGCGGGGAGTGTGGTTTGATATTTTTGGGGAAGGGGTACTTTATAAGCTTCGATTAACTCCAGTTACGCTCGATTATATTCGGTTAATATGATTTTTATAGACACCACGTCAACACATTGGTCATTTACGTTGACGAAACTGCCGGAAATTTATTATACCCTTCCTTTACCGCAAAAATTACTTGCCTCTTTCAAAAAAGATGTAAAATGTAAAACTATATGTAAAACTTTTTTCGATTAGATAAAAAAAATAGATGGAAATTATTGATAATAATATAGATCGACAAACGACGATAAAATTGGTCGATATTAATCTCGATCAAAGATTTCAAAACTCGTTTGGTCAAAAAAAGCGATTATGCACTTATATAATATCATTTAAGACATCATGGCGGTTGAATGTTCAAAATACGACTGTGCTTCAGTTAAGATTCTCCATTTCAAATTTTTTAGAAGGCGGAAACTGGAACCAAGAAATTTATTTTACTAAGAATCAGAAGAAAAAAAATAAAAAAGTAGGAATGCGCTTGGTGTTTGTATGTATGTGTATGAGAGAGAAAGAAGAAGATAATGCAGTCGAATAATGTCTTTATGTCCTCCAATAGATTTATTGTAATAAGTCAAGTGTGCATGTACATGTGCGTGCGCGTGTAATTTACGAGATTTTATTTTTGAATGTGATTTTTTCAATTTTTTCGCATAAATCGATTATAATGATTTTTTACCATCAATTTATAAATTTGTTGATATTGAAAAATTAATATATTTCCTTTAATTATGTACACCCAACGTCAAATTAAATTGATTCTTAATAACACTGTTCAACAAAGAAATGACGGTTTTTGAACACTGGAACGAGAAAAAATAAAGTAAATTAGGACTTTCAACTCTCAGTAAGAATTTTCGGTGTCGGTTATGATATCCACAGTTGAATATAAGGTATTGCAGAAGTTAGCGGTTTCTTAGGTTGACGCAAACTACAGACAGTTTTAAAATATGTTTATTTATTCTTAAAGGTCTTTTAGGTCACTAACAATGAATACAAAATCAATTGTCAACATACTTTGTATAATGGCAAGAAAACTTCTTTAGTACGTCACATATATTGTAGTTATAATATGACAAAATTCGAAAAAATAGCACTTTCTTACAATTGCAATTTTTTTTAAATTGTGCCGTGATGGAGCAATTTTTAAGACAGATTCGTGTTGAGCGTCAAAAATACTATAAGAAATATCTAGTCTCGTACCGGTGTTTTTTTTTACGGAACAGTGTTATTAACGACGATCAAAGATCTCAAAAATTGTTCATACAAAAAACTAATTATGTCTATATGATATTGTTTGAAGCATGATTCGCAGTTAAAAGTTCAAAAATACAAATACGATTGGCTGTGCTTCAGAGAAAATCCGCTGTCGGACGATATTCAGAAGGCGGAGACTAAAACAGAGAAAAATGCAATTTATTAAAAAAATTTAAAAGAGAGTCGCGCAAATATGACATTTGATAAAATATACTTCTAAAGCTACAATTTTGAACATAGATTTGTAGTTGTTACAAGTATATTTTTAAACTTTTAAACTTTTGTGTTTAGCGTCAAAAACACGCTTTTACTGAACAGTATTATGATCTCAAAAATTGTTCATTCAAAAACTGATTTTTTATATGATATTGATTGTTTGATGTATCATTAATACAAATACGATCGTCTGCGCATCAGGAAAATCCGCTATCGGACGATATTCAGAAGACGGAGGCTAAGACAGAGAAATAGCAATATATTAAAAAATTAAGAGAAAGAGGGCCGCGCAACATTTGGAAAAAATATACTTGTAAAGCTATAATTTCGACTTAGATTGTAGATTGAATTTATGAAATAAAAATGATTTATGAAAACAATTATCAATTTATCTGTACATGTCTGATAATACTCACTAAATGCAGGATTGTGTCTTCTATTTCGTTTCTTAAGGTTACAATAGTTTCGAGACAACTCATGAAATTTGGTCTATCATTTGCCGCATTCCAGCAATTTAGCATCAAATCGTATAATTTCTCTGGACAGTGATAGGATTTGAATAACTTTTTCCCTGCACACACATACTCCTTTACTTCATTAAAACTATATAAGGCAGCATAGGGATGTTGTCCCAACGATGTAATTTCCCACATTAGTACCCCGAATGACCAAACATCGCTTTGTGAAGTAAATATTCGGTCTATCAAAGATTCCGGTGCCATCCAACGAAAAGGAAGCAGGCTTTCTCCTCCCTAAAATACAATTTTAGTGCAAATGAAGACTTTTATCGAAAAAAATTATGTTTATTTTTGCAAGCGTTAGATGTAGATAAAATTCATCATTTTTTTCCATATACTCTTATACACAAAACCAGTAATATCTCATATTACATTTTGTTCATTTTTGTTTATTTATTCTATTCAGCTCAACAATATATAATATTATTATAATGCAAAAAATTTATCTTTTTAAAATATATATATATATATATATATATATATAATTACATTCTAATTACCGTACGATAATAGTCTTTGATGTAAACATCTTTAGCTAGTCCGAAGTTGCTGATTTTCACAACACGGTTTTCACGATTTCTCGAGGATATTAAGCAATTTCGACAAGCGAGATCTCTATGCACATAGTGCTGTTCTTCTAAATAGCGACAACCTCGAGCAACATCTTCGCACATAGCAAGCAAATCTTGTAGACGCAGGGCGTGCGGATCTTCCGGATGCAATGTTCGAGTCTCTCTCAAATATTTCAGTAAGTCACCAACTTCCATTAATTCCAATATCAGCCATGGTTGATCCTCGGTAATACAGATGCCCAACAATCTTAGCACATGTTTGTGGTCAAATTCTTTCATAATTTTAGCCTCTTCCAAGAATTCTTGTTTCTTTTGCCAGGAAGCATTTTTTCGTAGCATCTTAATGGCGACAGGCATTATTTCCGAACCTTCTCCATTTTTGACAATTCCTTGATGTACCTGAAATTTATTTCATATTCAATACAAATCCATAGAATGCATGCTAAAAAATGTTTATTTATTATACAACTTTTTATAAAAAATTTTAATTTTCGCAATATTTTTTATTAAAAATGTGTCTTAATATTTTCTGAAAAAAATGTTAAGGAAAATCTTCAAGGATATACAAAGAAATAAGAATTTAATTTTACCTCTCCAAATGCACCGCTGCCTAGAGGATTTCCTAAGGTGATTTGCTTTTTATCGATTATTATATTTGCAAATTCGTCGATATCACTTTGCAATTTAGAATCGTGCACAGAGTGGAGTTCATAGTTTACGAAAGATGTTTCGTTCGCGGTTGTTGATTCGATATTGATTATTGAAGGCGTAATTATTTTTTTATTTTTTTCGCGTTGCCAGTGCTCACCTGTTAGATAAATAAGCGTTATAATACATTTAATACTATGCTTTGCAAAATTTAAACCATTTTTAATAATTGAACTAACTTCTTAAAAACTTTATATTTCCTTTATATATCCCATAAGCAAGAAATATTTAATCAACATTTCGAAATGTTGATTTTATATAAATTTTTTAAACGTTATGATATAATGTTTTAAAAATATGTTTAAAATATTTTAATAAACGTATTAATAAATATTTAAAAAATATTTTAACTGATGTTTTATAAATGTTTTAAAAATATTATTTAATAACATATTGCTTTCAAAATATTTTAGAAATATTTTAATAACATAAGTCAAATTGTTCCTTATATGTTATTAACACGTTTATTCGTTCATTGATTTAGATATACTGGTGCCAATATGCAATATGTGAATCCATATATAATCTTTCAGTAAGTTTCTGCAAATGAAATGTTCTGAACGAAAGAATAAAAATAAGGATTTCTTCTAGTGTGTATTATTAACATCAATATTAATGTTATAATATATCTTGTAAGTTCGAAAGATATTTGTCGAATTTTTAATTAAATTGAAGAATTAATTAGGTTAGATTATTTTCTTGTATTTTGTATGAATTTTTAATAAAAATACTCAAATTGTTTGACAAAAATAAACTGTAATAAATAGAAGATTAGAATATACTTTTTATTTTTCGATTTAAAGAAATGTTATTTCAACATTACCGAAATCTCTAAATCGATACCAAAGTTTGTTCATAATAATGTTCAATGTTCAAAATTACATACTTGACAACATTATTATGTTAGTAAAAATCATTATAATAACCTTGTAACAATGATTTCTTGCTTACTGGGATATCATGTTTAAAATAATTTTTAATTATAGTATTTAATTATATTTATTTTAAATCTGTAAAAAATAAACACACAGCAGTAAAAGTAGTAAACATTATAGATTACGATGGTAGCGACAATGCTTAATATTAACGTTACGTATTGCACAGTTAATATTTCGTTCTTATTAGATTTCAGATTTGATGTCAAATCAACGACTCTTGATTCGCCGCTCCATTTCCCAGAACCATAAGTATTTGTAGCCTGCACACGAAAAAGATATTTCTGATTCATTTCTTTCGTCGTTATCCAGCAATAATTATTTGTTCCATTATAGTATAAATTCCAATGATTGATTTTGTCGGTTTGATTGACTTCTTTGTCATTATTTTCGACAATTAAACCCTCCAGTCGATACAAAATCACTGGTGAATCATGAGCTTGCGCATGTTCCCAGTTTAATTGATACGTCAAATTTGGAAGTTTTGTTACAATGGGTCTCCCAGGAGCACTTGGTACATTACCTTTGTTATACAAAAGTACAATTTAAATATCTTCGTTTTATTCTAGAATATATTATCTTAGAACTTTATTATTTATAATTTCCAATTAAAATTTATTTTTAAGAAAGTCTTAAAGTATATATGGGACGTTCCACGTCAAGTAGGACAGGCGTCTGGGCCAAATTTGTGAAGTCAGAAAAAGACGTTTGAGGGCTTAAAATTTTCGTTATTTAAAGTTGTTTAAGAAAAACGTGGCCTTTTAAAAATTCAAAGTATTTACTTCAATATGATACGGCTGGAATATATGATAAACTTACTGAAAATATAATTATCGATCAAAACGCATTCGATTTCAATGAAACTCGGAATCTAGGGGTTTTTCAAGTTGCTTATAAAGAATCTATAGTCAGAATTTCAGAAAATTTTTAATTTCTTTTTCTATTTTTATCGTAAATTTAGTACTATTTAAATGTGTTAAAAAAATGAAATAATTGATGTTTAACATGTGTCATATAATAACAATTAAGATTGAAAGAAGATATTCCGGCGCAATTGACTCTCTTTCAATTATTCATTACTATATGTTTTCAGTAAGTTTATCATGTATTCTAGCCATTATAATGGAGTGGGTACTTTAAACTTTTTAAAAGGTATTTTTCTAATAACAACATAAAATAACAAAAATTTTAAGACATCTTGTTCCGACTTC